TAATTTCCTCAGTATTGTAATTGTTTAAAGCTCTTCCCTTCCTTTCTTAGACAACAAGGTGCAGGGCTGGATGAACACAGCAGGCCAAGCAGCATCATAGGAGCAGAAAGGCTGACGTTTCGGGCCCAGACCCTTCATATCCATATAAACTTAGTCTCTCCAATACTGTCACATCCTTCCCTTAGTGTGGCACCTGGAATTGCATACAATACTCCAGCTGAGGTCTGACCAGTGACCTGTGTAAGATCATTGTAGCCTCCCATGACTTATTAATGAATCCTTGAATAGTGTACACTTTATTAACAGCTCTTTCTACTTATCCTACAACCTTTAATGATGTATGTGTGCACACTCTCAAATTCATCTGCTTCTGTGAGTCTTTTATAATAGTAACCTATATTTTATACTGTCTCTTCATATTCTTCGCACCAAAGTGCATCACCTCACATTGAACTTCATCTGCTACCTATCCACCTGCTCCACCAACTTTCAATGCCCTTTTGAAGTTCTACACCTTCCTCACAGATTACAATGTTGGGTCATGCACAAACATTGACATTGCAACCTGCGCACCAAGACCTAGATCAATTACATATATCAGGAAATCATTTTATTACTGTTGGGTTATCTTACGAGGGATATTTGGACAGGTTGAGACTGTACAGAAACATGGAAACCAGGAGCAGGAGTCTGTCATTTGGCCGTACATTCACCATTCAACATGATCATGGCTGATCCTCAATCTCAATGCCATATTCTCACTTTCTCCCCATATCCTCTGATGCCTTTAAAATTTAAAAATGCACCCATCTTCTCCTTGAACAGATTCAATGACTTGGCCTCACAGCCTTTTGTGGTAGAGAATTCCATGTTTTAGTCACAGCCCCTCTCATCCTTTAAATTCTGGTGAATAAAGGCACAGTTAAAACAATCTGTTTTCATGGAACACTCCTGCCATTCCCAGTATCAATCTAGTGAACCTTCACTGCACTCCTATGGCAGACGAACTCTTTCTTATGAAGGGAGACCAAAACTGCATGCAACACTCCAGATGTGGTCTCATCTAACTGCAGTAAGACATCCCTACTTCTGAACTCAGATACTCTTGTAATGAAGGCCAATATACCATTTACCTTCCTAATTGTTTGCTGCATATGCCTGTCCACGTTCATTGAATACTGTATAAGGACACCCAGATCTCTTTTTACATCTAATTTCTCATCATAACAACTATTTAAAGAATAGTTTTTGCTTTTCACACCAAAGTGCATAACTTCACATTTAGCCACATTGCACACGTCATGTCATGGAGATCTACAGAACCTTCGACCTTCCGTTCATCATATCCACACTGGTCAAAAACAATCACTTAACTATTCTAATCCCATTTTCCAACACTTGGCCCATAGCCTTGATGCCTTGGCATTGCAAGTGCACATGTAAATACTTCCGAAATATTACGAGGGTTTCTCACTGGTCATTGCCTGTCATTTGAAAAAAGTCCAATTAATTCCCACTCTCAGTTTTCTGTCTGCCAACTAATTCTTGATCCATGCCAATATATTACCAACTATCCCATGTGCTTTATTTTTGTGCACTAACGTCTAAATAGGGACCTTCTCAAAAGGTTTCTGAAAATCCAAATGCATTATATCCACTGGTTCTTCTTTATCTATTCCACAACATACACCTCAAAAAAAACCCCATAGAATTAGTAATCATAATGTGCCTTACATAAACCCAAGCTGGCTTTGTCCAATCCTGTTAATGCTTATCAAATGATCTGTTTCCACATTGTCTATGACAATAGACTGCAGCATTTACCACACTACTGATGTTAGGCTACCTGGTCTGTAACTCTGTTTTCTTCTCTCCCCCTTTTTTTAAATAGTGGGGTTATATTTGCCCCCCTCCAACCTGTCGGAACTGCTCCAGAACCTATCGAATTTTGCAGGATGGCCACAATATTTCAGGGCCACTTCTTTCTCCAGTATATCGATGATATCATCAGCGCTGCTTACCTCCCTCATCCAGAATTGGAAACATTTATCAATTTCGCTTCCAATTTCCACACTGTCCTCACTTTCACCTGGTCCATCTCTGATTCCTCTCTTTCCTTCCTCAACGTCTCTCTTTCCATTTCTGGGGATAGGCAGGCCACCAACATCCACTACAAACCCACCAACTCTCACAGTTACCTTGACTATACATACTCACACTTTGCCTCCTGTAAAGATTTTATTGTATTCTCCCAGTTCCTCTGTCTCTGTCGCATCTGTTCCGATTATAAAAATTTCAACAAGAGAGTCTCCAAAGTGTCTACCTTCTACCTCAATCAAGGATTCCCCAGCACTGCTGTCGACAGGGCCCTCAGCCAGGTCCGACCCATCTCCTGTGCTTCGGTCCTCACCCCCTCTCTCCCCTCCCCCAACAACGACTGGGTTCTCCTTGTCCTGACCTACCGCCTATCAGCATCTGCATCAGAGAATCATTAGCTGCCATTTCCACCACCTCCAGCGAGATGCCAATACCAGACACATACTCCCCTCCCCTCCCTTGTCAGCCTTCTGCAGGGACTGTTCCTCTGAGACACACTGGTCCACTTTTCCTTCACTCCCAAAAACCTCCCATAGCTCCACCGCACCTTCCGCTGCAACTGCAGAAGGTGCAACACTTGCCCATTTATTTCCTTCCTCCTCAGTATCGAAGGGGCCCAAACATACCAACCAGGTGAAGCAGCACTTTACCTGCACTTCACACAATCTAGTTTACTGTATTCACTGTTCACAATGTGGTCTCCTCTACACTGGGGAAACAAAGCCTACACTGGGTGACCGTTTTGCAGAACACCTATGTTCTGCCTGCAAAAAAGACGGTGAACTTCTAGTTAACAAGGTGTAGAGCTGGATGAACACAGCAGGCCAAGCAGCATCAGAGGAGCAGGAAAGCTGATGTTTCGGGCCTAGACCCTTCTTCAGAAATGGGGGAGGGGAAGGGGG